AGCCTGTAACATCATCGGTGACCCCTCACACCCCCACCATGAACTTAGGAATTTGCAAATATTTTCAAGGCTGAACAACTAGTTGGATCGGATTGCATAAACGTTCATTTTCCCTCCATAAATAATTGAGAGGGAAAGTATCTTTGTTGAAATGGGTTTGTAGAAGGTTTTTGTGGTTTTTCTTGGGCTTTTCTGTAAACGAATGACAATGTTTGATTATCCTTTTTGCTCACTGTATACAGCACCTATTATTTTAAATTGAATTTTTCTAATAAAAAAGATTAAAAAAAAAACAAAACAAAAAAGACTCTCCCTGCTGCACTCTCGAAAGAGGTTTCACGGCATTCGATGCAGGACCAGCAGGTTCTGCAACAGCTTTTCCCCCTTGCCATCAGACTGTTGAACTGGTGAAACTCTAATCAAGTCACAAATCGAAACAATCGAGATATTTAAATGCCTTTTCTTCTGATCACTGCTGCACTTTACAAATGGAAATGTTAATTTCTTCGCTGTATGCTGCTTATTCACTGTTGGAAAGCTGTATGCATTTAATCGACAATAAAAAGAAAATTAAGTTCGTCTAAGTTTAAGTCTAATTCATGTAATGTCCTAATATATGTATAAGTACAAAATTGTGTGTTTGTGTGAGCGTCCAATTAAAATGATAACAGATCCATGGCCTACTCTCTTTTCATGCACTCCTTGTTTCGGTTGGTATTGTGTTTTTCCTGTATTTTAGGTTTTCTTTTTTTATATAAATTAGGCCTACTGTACCTTTTATATCAAAAGTATGTCATGAAAAAGTAAGATCTAATAATTTGTATTTTTTTGTGCCTTAAAGGATCAATAAAAAAAATATGCTATTTATTTTTGCTTTTTTTTTCACTCTATTGTTTCAAGTACACACATGGAAAAATCATTGTATCATTATTATCTGTCTAATCACGTAATGAAAATAAATAAGTAAATTAATAAAACAGACATTATCATTAAACACTCACTACGTGAGTAGTTTTTCACACAATATTTTACTCTAATCAAACATTTTTGAGTATTCTTTCTTCAGTTAAAATATGTTAATGTTGCTATCTGACATCTTCCTTTTAAAAGGTTCTTTTTAACAAATTGTTTAAGCGAATTTTTTACTTTCACAAAATCACCCATAAAATCTACTAGCCTAGTGCAAACAAAAAAGCAAAAAAAAAGAATAATAAAATTCAGGTGTATAATAAGCACAATTCTAAATCTTAAAAACATTTCTGTATTTCTCTTGAATCAAAAGGATGAAGAAGATACCCTGTCAGTAAGCTCTCGCTCCAAGCAGCTAATTTGCTTCTTAAAGTTAAAACACACCCTTGGCAATTTGTTTTTAGTGAAAGCATCAGAGAGATTACAGACAAATTCATGTGAGTTCAAACAAGACTGCTTTCCCCTCAAAACAACAGTGAGCTTTTTACACAGTTCTGACCTTTTTATCTGTCACTCCTTTCAACAGATGCTTTACACACCGAGTCAACCTTAAGCCCCAACACACAGCTTCATAGAAAGGTGTATTACATGCACTTTAATGAGATAGAAAAAGAGCAATCCAAACGACGACAAAGACACTCAATGTTTTGTCAAAATATCTCATATCCTCATATCCTGCGATGTAATTTAGCCATCTTTTAAAGAAGTGTCGTCAGCCTTTTTTTCTTTAAATGTCTGTCAAAATAAGGGCACAAGTTTTGTGAAGTGGTCAGTTATCTCTTCTTACAAGCTGACTGTTCATTCGAAATAAAAATATCTTACCAAAGTAATTTTGTGACACTTATAAACCTATCATGGTTTTTTTATGCACTTCAACATTTCCGAATATTGTCATAAAACTGTAATATTGAGGCACTAAATAAGTGCAGACAGATTCTGGGGAGATGTTTACTTTTGACATTTCTAAGAAAAATTCAATCATTATTGAACGAGACAAGTGTGAAATTATGTGTATTAAGCTGACATCTTATGCATAAATATGCCAGACATCATACAAGAAAATCTATACGACTATGAATTTTTACGAGTTTAATCTATAACTCATAAAAGATAGATTAAAAGGTTGCCAAATAGTAAACAGAAAAGGCTC